AACTTGGCTGAGTTTGATTTGAAGCAAGGGCAAAAAAAATTCTCTTCCCCACCATGCCCCCAGAATGGGTCTGGGATCTCTCTGGCAGCTATTTGCCACACTCATCCCATTAAGCAAAGAGGCCAACAATTGAGAGTTACCACAACTCCTCCACACACCTTTCAGGCATGAAGCTTAAGCACAGCCACAACTTTACCTCTTAACCAAAACTCTGTTCTGTAACTGCATCAGTAAAGGCAAGACCACATACTAAAATCTTATCTTACGTTTTACCTTGATCTGGTCTTCTTCCTCCAAGTGTGCTAGACTGATCCATTCTCTCTTCTTCTCTTCACTTCTCTTCTGTCATGCAGCGTCTTTCCTTTCAATGTTGCAGCAAATACAGTTCCCGTTCATACATTATTGTAAAGATGGCTGTTGTCTATTATACAATTAACCTCCTTATTTACATTACAAGTTTATTAATGAAGGAGTTATTTGTAACATCTGTTTTTTTAATATTTACTAAATGTTCTACCATCATAACCTGGACTCACCACTCTTAATACACTTTCATAGATGGTAAAAACCAGAAAAAAATGGTACCAGAGACCTTCCACCAGACACTGCAAAAAGAATGAAGGAAGGCCAAATTTTCTTTGGCTCCCAGCAAGCAACAGTGCCAGAGTTCTTAACCTGTGGGGAGCACTGGAATCAAGAGAATATGGGGATTCTGCTCCGTAAAATTTTATTATAATTAAGCTGATAGACAAAGTCCAAGAAAACAATTTTGCACTGTCAGAAACCAAACTTCATGGGGATTCCAGACAAGCACTGAACATTTTGGACCACAAAAGATAGCAAAAATGCAGTTCAATCACTTTTGATACATATAATGTCCAAGGTTCACATGAGCATAAAATGAAAACCAAAAGTTGCTGGATATCAATTAGGAAGCAATGCAGAATCTAGTCTTGACCCTGACTAGTAGATACATAATTTTCCAATGAAGAACAAGGACTAACGTACAATGTGTGACAATTTAGTTCCTCAAATGCCCCTGTAAAAGCTGCATTTAATTACTTGCATACTAATGGTTGCAGTCCTTCAAAGTGGTCTCCTCGTGCATGAATACACTCAGTGAATCAGTGTCTCTGCTACTCAAAACATTTCTGAAACTCCTCTTCTGGAATGCTCATCAGGATGGTTGTCCATGAGTGTTCGCAAGGCCTGAAAATCTGAGGTCCTTCAGTGTCTTCAGATTAAGCTGCATGGGACCAAATCTGGCACACATAATGGATGGCCCAATTCCAATATCTGACAGCAAGCGTATCATGAGCAAGTGTACTGTCATGAATCAAGATCCTAGCATCAGGCAAGAGTTCAGGTCTTCTCCAACAAACAGCCTTTCCAATATTTCAAAATGAAAATGCTGGTTCACTGTTCAACCACGTTC